GGTCAGATGGGGCTAGGAGTTACACTCAGCAGAGGGCTGGGCTCTGGTTCAGCTCCCCTGCCTGGGTGGGGGCAGACCAGGATCCAGGGCTGGGGAGGCTATTGATTGGAGGACCCAAAGCAGGCAGACCTACACTGTGCTGAACTCCCGGGTCAGACTGTGCCACACACTTGGTTCTGCAGATGAGCAAACTGCTGATCGGGACCACTGCTTGGGTGCTGCAGGAAGGAAATGGGTTGGCCACGATGGTCAAGTCCTGCAGATTTGCCCCCAATTCCTCGGAATTGAGACTACAGTGGGGGCTCCCAAGAAGCAACCCATAATGCTGGGGTAGCTAGATGTCCACCCGGGGATTTCTTTTCCCTGTGGGGGGACCAGAGGCTCAGAGGGGGATCTGTCAGTGGTGCTATGCCAGCCTCGGCGGGAGGGGCAATACAGGCAAGCAGCTAGCTGGGCCTCTTCCCCTTCTCACGCCGTCTTTCTAGGTCTCTGTGGAGCAGGGCTGCTTCAGCCGCACCCCCTCGTTCTACGATTCTCTCAGTGGTATCTCGTCCATGAATAGTTGCTAGTTGCTCTTCCTGCGAGGGAGAGTGAAGTCAGGAGCGACCTATGCTGCTATCTGGGTGACATCACTCTCTCAAGTATCTTAGGACGTGAAGGATGAGTCAGGAATGGTATCACAGCAGTGGTTCTCAAAAGCGTGGCCCCTGGAGCAGGAGGACTCAAAATATTGAAATATATTTTACAAGGTATGTGGTCAGTATCTTGCTTGAAGACTAGTTAGACAGTAACAACATTTCTGGCTCTAATCCTAAAAATGATACTCAAATGTAAACCTAGTTTCTGGTTTCTTAAATTTGGGAGCAGAATATTCAGTGACCACAAATATATTCTTATACCAGAAGCAAAGCCCAAAGCAGCACTTAAAACTAAAATGAAAAATACGGAGTCAAAAGTGTTCCTTAAACATAATGTTATAAAACTGAAAGTATACCAGGGCAAAGTCTCAAGCTGTTGTTCGAATGAAGTTTAGGATTCAACAAATATTTACAGGATTAGCTATGTACCCCTAAGTTCGTGAAGCATGTATGCAGGATGTTTCATAAGCGAATGGTCTGGGAAGTGACAGCCTCCACTTCAGTCGTGTGCCTGTAACTCAGTCGCTGGGATGATACTGAGTAAGTAGCTGATCCTGTTTCAGTTACTGCACCTATAAAAAGTTTCTACTCCAGTACCTAACCAGCACTACGCATTTCTCACTTGTTAGTTCCTTTTTCCTATTGCTTTAAATTCTTAGTATGTATTCATGACAAGGATAATTTCAAAAATTTCCTTTATGTGTGAGTTTTTAGACCTTGATATTGGTCTTGCTAATTTCGTTTCTCTTGCCTAAACTTTTTTCTCCTCCTCCAGTTGATTCTAAAACAAAGTATAAATTTAACAGGGCCTCTCCTGGGTCCCGAATTGGTATTTTTCTAGTGTACTGAAAACAGTATTGTTTTCCTTTGGCGAACAAACAAACAAGACACTCAAATGAGTATTTCATGGTCTTTTGTAAAGTACCCCCTTGCCTACCAAATCAAAACAAAAATCTCTGCCCTGAGATCACAGGCTCAGAATAGCAAATATAATAAACTTTTTTTTTTTTAAAGAAGATACGTGTGGAAGTTAAGGGTAAATTAAAGCCCCCAGTCAAGACATCTCCTCAGGAACACAGGCCCTAACTTCTTGCCCATCACCTCCATTTCCAGAGTATTCTCTACCCTAAATATCCTGAGTTCTCTGAACAGGAAGTTAACGATTCTGGTATATTTGAATTGTTACCACTGCACTTGAAAGATGTGTTTTAAGTTGCTATTCTGTAAGAATTGTTGGTAGCCAGGAGCCCAATGAGACAATGAAAGTAATGTAGATCCTTCTAATAGAATATTAATATGACTTAGCATTTAAAAAATCACTTTACAACTTTGGGAAATAAAATGAGGTATTATTTATTTATGACATATTTACATACTTACAAAACTGTTCTTATCCAATACATCATCCTGCAGAGTTGCTTAAGAATGAACATCATATTCTGGGAGTAAAAACCCACGTTTCTTAATAATTTTTGCATAACCCAACATCTTGTGGATCACAAAATACCATCAATTTGGCTTCAGAGAACACAAATACCTGTTGAGAATTTTTTGTAGTCAAGGAACAAAGTAAATTCAACCACATAAAGTAATTAAGTTGACCCTGAGTGTATCGCTAATTTGCATAATTTTTTAATACATGCATATCATACTTTCCTTAAACTTACCAGTATACTACCATTTGGTTTAAATTCAGTCATCTCGATTTTCTACCTCATTAATCCTTAAGATAAAAAGGAACAAAGAATGGGGAAGTAATTAAGAGACAAGGAGGAGAAAACTAGAACTGCCTGAAGCTTTCCAACTGTGGCACAGCCCTGGTCCAGGCTTATTAGCCGAAGGGTTTTGAATGGAGTCATCGGAGTTCCTTCTGTCACCTAAGGTTAACATTACATTTCTCTTGCTGCATTTTTCCTGGTGGCCTTCACACTGCTTAATTAAAACAAAAAAGTGTACCAGCAGAGAAAATTCACGGAGTGATTCCTGGAGCATTTCAGAGGAACAAAGTATCGCAGACCCAACCACAAAACAGTGCTGAAGAACTGTGTTAGAGACCGGTTTTCCTGCGAAGCTTGAGGGACCAAAAGAGCAAAGAGCCCCGAGTCTGACTCTCCCTCAGAAATGCTAGTGTAGGGAGGGAATGAGCAGGAAGGGCAAAGAACCAGGGGCGGCTGGGTGACTGGTGAGGGGAAATGTGGCCTCGGACCAAGGGCTCGCATATATCTCAGGCCCACACTCACCACGGGCCTGCCCGGCTCGAGCCGCCAGGGTGCGTACGAAGTGATGAGTGACTTTTCTTGCCCCTCATACAACAAAGAAATCTAAAGATGAAAAAATAAGCATGAGGTGCGGAAAACAGAGTGTGTGGAGTCAGTCATGCTTGGATGACTTTCAACAGTAACTGGGGGCCAAAATTCATGTGCCTTTCCCTAATCCTCCTCGCCCACTCACATTGTTCCAAAGAGCAGAAGGTTCAGCGGATGAACAGGGCTGGGAAAATTACCTGGCTTCACCCAAGCTACAGAATAACTGAAGAATTTGAGGACTGTGGGAAAATTGTCCTCTAAGGAGATGTCCATGTTTGTGATTCTGTGAAAACAGCCTTCAGAAACATAAACTGAGACTTGGTAAAATAAAAAGAAAAACTTTTTTTTTTAGGATCTCTAAGATTCCCTATAACGGGAGGGAAAGTGACATATCTGCACTTGCATATTCCAAGTACGGGCATCCTTCATCCCCAATTGTGATTTGTCACCAGGCCAATGCCATGATAAAATCCTGTTGTTAGAAAAGTGTAGCTTTTTTAAAATAAAGGATAAAAGCAAGTGGTACAGAAAGACCTCTCTTTTTTATTAATCAGATGGAGAAAACAAAGTGTTGCACAAATAGCAAGAAAAGAGGGGAGAAAAGCATTCTAGCCCTATTATGCCGCAGCAACTGGTTACATGTCTTTTCTCTCCTTACTTTTAATGACAAACAAGTCTTAATTTCACCAAGCAATCATACAGTGCTTGGAAATGAACATATAGTTGTGAAAATAATGCTTCTCATCCTTGGGTAAAAAAGCAAAAATCAAGTAGTACCCAAAGTAATACAAAGCAAACGTTACCTGTAGTGACAGTGCGGGGTAAGAGCTTTAGTACCCTTTATAAGATTGTGCTACTTAATTTACAGCTAATGAACTGTATAGACGAGTAAATAAAAATTATATTACATTTGTGTAAGAAACTATCTTCAAAAAGTTATAGGAACTTGCATACATAGAGTCCAAAGTATAAGACAAACTATTTAAATTTTGATTTATATAAATCCAAAAATGCTAAAATATATTATTTGGGATTAGCGGGGGGAGAAGCTTTCACTAAATACAAACATGATGGACTAGATAAACCAGTTGAATATTAAAACAGTTTCACTGAAAATTTCCATAAAGCGTAAAGGCAGAATGGCACCAAGTTAGAAAAGCAGTGTTTAAGGCAAACTAAATATTAAGTAACCTTAACTAAAAGAAGAGGCATACAATTCCATAAATAACAAAGTAATTCCTCTGAAAAATTTCTCTACGACACTTGAGCATATATGAGTGGAGGCAGAAATAATGGCCATTGTCAGAGTTCACTTGGAAATACTGAATAGTATTATATAAAAATAACCGAAATGCTTCTGATTTAAAATACCTTCAAATCATGGGCCACTTAGTTGTCATATAGCAAGGGAAATAAAACATACTACTGCAATGCTTCAGAGTCTAAATCTATGAAATGCCAAAGCTTACTTTAAAAAAAACTTTTTTTAGATTATGTGTGTACGTACATGATAACCAAAAAACCCCATTATTTTGGCCCATGTAAAAAGTATGCATAGAAATGTGCGCCATCTCTCTGCAAGTACGTGTCTGAGGGTCAGCTATTGAGCACACAGCTCAACGTCAGACCTGAGATGACCTGCGCACACAAAAAGCATCAAAGACTGAGAAGACAGAAATCATGAAATAAACAATGACATGTTCTTAAACGAGTCGTATCTTCTTAAACAACAAAATAATCAAGTACATATCATTAAGTTAAATGTAGCACGTGAATTTGCACCTTACAACAAATTTGGTGTATCAAACTGTCCTATAAAAATATATATTTTGTTTTCTAAGAACTGTGGTACATGAAATGACACAATCACAGCAAGGATCTGCTTCTTTGCAGCTACTGGAATGACACCGTGCCTTTCTAGGAAAGATCAAGTGCAGCCTACAGGCAAATTCTCAAGACTGCTGCATCCACTGGAGCTCTCCACCTGGGGATGGGACGAAGTCTTTACCGCCAAGTTCCAAGCAAAGTGGTGTCTGGGCCCTGGGTGAGTCTTCCGTCACACGGTCCTGGGGGGCAGGCGCTGTTTGTACATGCCAGCAATGGCTTTGGCCGCACTGTAGATCATCTGCCGGCGAGACATGCCGGTGAATGTCAGGTGCCAGTCGGTCCGCGTCACGTTCACTAAGCTCTTTTCCAGGACTTCACCCACTGTCACCAGGAGGCCTGACCACCTCAGACTGTAGTCCTGGGGAGTGAGGCTTTGAGCCTGGGGAAAAATGAAACTGGGTATGATTTATAGTGCACTGAAAAAAATGACTGGAACTAGCTCTAAGTGACATCCCAAAGTCTCTTTATTACTTTTAGTATAGATGACGACAAACCCCGAGAAACAGAGCTATGCAGGCAGCCCTATGATGTGACGAGGCTACAGAAGGATCAGAACACTACTGCACACGCCTCCTCTGTTCAGTGTCCACAGTAAACTCACTCTGTTGTTCAGCGTCCTCAGTCTTCATCTGATGATGCCATCTGACAGTGCTCAGTGTCCGAGGGTTTAGGTTCCAGCCCGAGTCCCTGCTGCTTCAGGTTCAGAGGCAGAGGAGTGCTGAGAGCGCCCCTCCACCCCTAACCCTTCCCATCCTTTTCCACGGGCCCTCCCTCATCAGTGTGTTCTTCGGAGCCTTCCCATCATCTGAAATGTTCACTGACATCTTTTTTTTTTAATTTTATGATGTTACATTAGTCACCCTACAGTACATCATTAGTTTTTGATGCAGTGATCCACGATCCATTGTTTTCATGTGACACCCAGTGCTCCATGCAGTACGTGCCCTCCTTAGTACCCATCACCAGGCTAACCCGTCCCCCACCACCCTCCCCTCTAGAACCCTGTTTGTTTCTCAGAGTCCATCGTCTCTCATGGTTCATCTCTCCTTCCGAATTCCCCCCCTTCATTTTTCCCTTCCTTCTCCTAATGTCCTCCATGCTGTTCCTTATGTTCCACAAATAAGTGAAACCATAAGATAATTCACTTTCTCTGCTTGACTTATTTCACTTAGCATAATCTCCTCCAGTCCCATCCATGTTGATGCAAAAGTTGGGTATTCGTCCTTTCTGATGACTGAGTAATATTCCATTGTATATATGGATCACATCTTCTTTATCCATTCATCTGTTGAAGGGCATCTCGGCTCTTTCCACAGTTTGGCTATTGCGGACATTGCTGCTATGAACATTGGGATGCATATGGCTCTTCTTTTCACTACATCTGTCTTTGGGGTAAATACCCAGGAGGGCAATTGCTGGGTCATAGGGTAGCTCTATTTTTAATTTATGAGGAACCTCCACACTGTTTTTGAAAGTGGCTGTACCAACTTGCATTCCCACCAACAGTGTAAGAGGGTTCCCCTCTCTCCACAACCTCTCCAACATTTGTTGTTTCTTTCCTTGTCCATTTTTGCCATTCTAACTGGTGTAAGGTGGTATCTCAATGTGGTTTTGATTTGAATTTCCCTGATGGCTAATGATGATGAACATTTTTTCATGTGTCTGTTAGCCATTTGTATGTCTTCTTCAGAGAAGTGTCTTTTTATATCTTCTGCCCAATTTTTGACTTTTTTTTTTTTTTTTTTAGATTTATTTATTTCAGAGAGAGAGACACAGCAAGAGCAGGAACACAAGCAGGGGGAGTGGGAGATGGAGAAGCAGGCTTCCTGCAGAGCAGGGAGCCTGATGTGGGACCCGATCCCAGGACCCTGGGATCATGACCTGAGCCAAAGGCAGACATTTAACGACTGAGCCACCCAGGCGCCCCTTGATTATTTGTTTTTTGGGTGTTGAGTGTGAGAAGTTCTTTATAGATCTTGGATACCAGCCCTTTATCTATAGTGTCATTTGCAAATATCTTCTCCCATTCTGTGGGTTGCTTCTTTTTGTTGACTGTTTCCTTTGCTGTGCAGAAGCTTTTTATCTTGATGAAGTCCCAAAAGTTCATTTTTGCTTTTGTCTCACTAGCTTTTGGAGATGTATCTTGAAAGAAGCTGCTGTGGGCAATGTCAAAGAGGTTACTGCCTATGTTCTCCTCTAGGATTTTGATGGATTCCTATCTCACATTGAGGTCTTTCATCCATTTTGAGTTTATCTTTGTGTATGGTGTTAGAGAATGGTCGAGTTTCATTCTTCTGCATGTGGCTGTCCAATTTTCCCAGCACCATTTATTGAAGAGACTTTTTCCCATTGCATGTTTTTTCCTGCTTTGTCGAAGATTATTTGACCAGAGAGTTGAGGGTCCATATCTGGGTTCTCTATTCTGTTCCATTGGTCTATATGTCTGTTTTTGTGCCAGTACCATGCTGTCTTGGTGATCACCGCTTTGTAATATAGCTTGAAATTGGGCAATGTGTTGCCCCCAGCTTTTTCTTTTTCAACATTTCCTTGGCGATTCGGGGTCTTTTCTGATTCCATACAAGTTTTAGGATTGTTTGTTCCAGCACTTTGAAAAATGTCATTGGAATTTTGATCGGCATGGAGTTGAAGGTATAGATTGCTCTGGGTAGCACAGAC